CTACTCTCTGAAGGTAGTCGGGTGACACCGAGGACAGGATGGTAGGAAGGAAATGGGAGACAGAGATGCTATGTTTTTGTCTTCCCCGTTCGGTTTCCAGCTCAGATCCGCTTCACTCCGGGAGAACACTCAGCCCCACGTTCTGCTCCAACTCCTCCCTTCAAAAGGAGGGTTTTCTCCTCCTCTCAGGGTTTCACCTTCACTCTTGGACTCATTTCTGCACCTGTGGTCAACCCTTTCACCACCGTTCCCCATCGCTCTGCTCTGCTGTGATGTTTTTGTTGTTTATTAGCAGAGCACCTTTTGTTGAAAAGGCTTTATTTTTGTCATTTTTACAGACGTTGAACTAGACTGTGGAAGCAGCTGAGTCTTTTTATTGGGATTAACTAGTAAAATACCTCCTTGACCACCAAGCAGTGTTCATAGCAGCTGTCTGACTTTAGCAAACCCCAAAACGAGTATTTCAGCCGGTTTTGCAGACACAAGAGTTAAAATCTGGTGTCGTAGTTAAGAGTCATCCCCATCACCGCGCTCGGTTGATTAACTGCAGCGGAAACCGACCGAGTTTAAAAAGTATAATCTACTAAAGCTTCTCGGTGAGTGACATCGGAGTTATATTTGTGTCTGTCGCAACCAGGAGAGGAATCTGACTCCCAGGAAGCTTCAGGCAGAGAGAGCATCGCTGTCACTCACCGCTGTTCCAGCATGAGCGTCGTTACATCTGCAAACATCTGCCACCCTCATTAACAGCTGCCTCCACCATCCTTTCACAAACCAAACATCAGAATGTTTGGATTGGCTTAACTCACCGAGCAGACCGTGAAGACGTTTGTGGGATTTTCGCTCTGCAGACACAACAAGGTGCGCCTTGGTCTCACCACTGACCACCTCTAGGGGTTTTATACCAAAGAGATCAATATCTCCTGCCATTCCTCATCAATAAAACCGTCTCAGCCTTCAAACGAAGGTTTTATTCTGTTCTGTGGGAACAAAGCAAACTGATCCGAGAGCAGCACATCCTGATATTTTCTCTCAAATGTTTAGAAACCGGTCCACTGGGTTGATGAAGCTGTCTCTGAAAAGCAGAGAGGTCCTTCTGCATCAGCCTGATGGAGTTTGTCTCCTCCCTGCATCCGATCGTTATCAGTGACATTAGCCCCGGAGGTCCGGTTCTGTGCTGGTTTTGACCCGACCTTCTGACAGTCGTAGGGGTGCGCCCTGTTGCTGGAAACCACACTAGGACCGCACCTGGGATACCCATGGTGTTTTATGGTTATGTGTGAGGTCTTGTGGTTTGAAAGTCGGCTGACAACTGGGCCTAACCTGCTGTCTGCAGACACGGAAGCTTCTGCCCTTTTAAAGAGCTGGAGAACTCAGAAAGATCTCCCTCTTTTACCAAGAACTGCTTTCATCGTCTTTGTTTGGTCAAATTATACTTTTGTCACATTTTCAGTCAAATCAGGACTTTTTAAGGATTAGATTCATCGTATTTTCTGTTGTCTAAGGCCCGGTTCACACAAATGCAGAGCGTTGACCCGATTCTTCATTCTGGCAACAGACAGAAGACCATGATGGCTCTAAAGATAATATTTTCAGATATTCCTTCCATGTGTGGTTTGGTTTTGTGAGATTTCCTGTCTGACCGAGGAAGGTCGATGTGTGACATCGGTTCATGTGTAGTTTGTATTTTTTACCACGTGGGCCACATCACACGCTGTAGGACCAAACACATCTGTTTTCATCACCACATGTTATGTCCGTCCATCCGTCCGTCCGTCCATCCATCCATCCATCCATCCATCCATCGATTTTCATCCGCTTACCCGGAGTCGGGTCACGGGAGAAGTAACCTAAGCAGAGAGGCCGTGACTTCCCTCTCCCCAGCCACTTGGGCCAGCTCCTCCGGGGGAATCCCAAGGCGTTCCCTGGCCAGGTGACAGACATATAGTCCCTCCACCGTGTCCTGGGTCTACCTTTAGGTCTCCTCCCAGTTGGACGTGCCCGGAAAACCTCACCAGGGAGGCATCCAGGAGGCATCCTGACCAGATGCCCGAGCCACCTCAACTGGCTCCTCTCAATGTGGAGGAGCAGCGGGTCTACTCCGAGCCCCTCCCAAACGACTGAGCATCTCACCCTACCTCTAAGGGAGAGCCCAGCCACTCTTCAGAGAAAACTAATTTCAGCCGCTTGTATCCGCGATCTCGTTCTTTCGGTCACTACCCAAAGCTCATGACCATAGGTGAGGGTAGGAACGTAGATCGACTGGTAAATCGAGAGCTTCGCCTTCTGACTCAGCTCTCTTCACCACGACAGACCGGTACAACGCCCGCATCACTGCAGATGCAGCACCAATCCGCCTATCGATCTCACGCTCCAGTTTTCCCTCACTCGTGAACAAGACCCCGAGATACTTAAACTCCTCCACTTGGGGCAGGACCTCATCCCTGACCCGGAGAAGGCATTCTACCCTTTTCCGAATCAAGACCGTGGTCTCAGCTTTAGAGGAGCTGATTCTCATCCCAGCTGCTTCACACTTGGCTGCGAACCGCTCGAGCGAAAGCTGAAGATCACGTTCTGATGAAGCCAACATGACCACATCATCTGCAAAAAGCAGAGACCTGACCCTCAGGCCACCAAAAGAGATGCCCTCCACACCTTGGCTGCACCTAGAAATCTTGTCCATAAAGGTTATGAACTGAATCGGTGACAAAGGGCAGCCTTGGCGGAGTCCAACTCTCACTGGGAATGAGCCCGACTTACTACCGGCAATGTGGACCAAGCTCTGACACCGGTCATGCAGGGACCTAACAGCCCGTATCAGAGGGCCTTGTACCCCATACTCCCGGAGTACCCCCCACAGGGCCCCCTGAGGGAAGCGGTCAAACTCCTTCTCCAAATCCACAAAACACTTGTAGATTGGTTGGGCAAATGCCCACGCACCCTCCAGGATCCCCCTAAGGATATAGAGCTGGTCCAGTGTTCCACGGCCAGGACGAAAACCACATTGCTCCTCCAGAATCTGAGGTTCAACAATCCGACGGACCCTCCTCTCCAGAACCCCTGAATAGACCTTACCAGGAAGGCTCAGGAGTGTGATCCCCCTGTAGTTGGAACACACCCTGCGGTCCCCCTTTTTAAATAAGGGGACCACCACCCCGGTCTGCCAGTCTAGTGGGACTGCCCCTGATGTCCACGCGATATTGCAGATCCACGTCAGCCAACACAGCCCCACAACATCCAGAGCCTTAACGAACTCCGGGCGGATCTCGTCCACCCCCGGAGCCTTGCCACAGAGGAGCTTTTTAACCACCTCAGCACCAGAGATTTGAGAGGCCAACTCAAAGTCCCCAGACTCTGCTTCCTCACTGGAAGACGTGTCAGTGGGATTGAGGAGGTCTTTGAAGTATTCTGTCCACTGATCCACAACGTCCTGAGTAGAGGTCCGCAGCACACCGTCCCCACTATAGATAGTGTTGGTAGCGCACTGCTTTCCCCCCCTGAGGCGCCGGATGTTATGTAGCAAGTTTAAAATCCTGTCATGTGAACCGGTTTTTAGACAAGAAAAGGATTTCTGATTTCATCTGAGAAGAAGTGCTGGAGTCTGTTTTCCATCAGTTTTGTTTAGATCAGGGGTGTCAAACTCATTTTAGCTCAGGGGCCACATTGAGGGAAATCTAGTCCCAAGTGGGCCGGACCGGTAAATTAAAACCAACTTCAGATTGTTTTCTTTGTTTTAATACAATCAATATAAAACAAGGCTGGAGCCTGAGGACAGTGTACCCAAAATAGTACAAGTACAACACCTGAAGTACACTTGAAAATGTGAAAAAAATAAATCAATAAATAAAAAAAACATTCCTTAGTGATTCAAAGAGCTTACAGGTCACATGGCTAGATCAGTTTCATGCAGCACTTAAAGTATATTCGACTCATTTTACTTTACATCTTTTAGCTTTCACCAGCACATCAACATCAGAAGTCACATCCTGAGTGGCGGCCAACTTCAGGATGGGATTCAAGTTCTTGTGTGAGCCTTGAGCGCAGCTTTGTTTTATTTATACTCGTTACAGAGAAAACTTGCTCACAAAGATACGTTTATTTTCACTCTACATTGTAAAGTATGAAAATAAAGTTTGCACAACCATCTCGCGGGCCGGATCCGGCCCGCAAGCGGGTTAAATCCGACTCGCGGGCTGCATATTTGACACCCCTGGTTTAGAGGAAGATGCAAGTGAAGATGAGCTCAGAGAACGAAGTTTTGGGTGATGATGAACACCCCAGGTCCACAAAACGACCAGTTACGGCGACAATCATTTCCTCTAAGGAAACAAACTGTGTAGCGTCTAGGTTCCCGAGCGAAACAGTAGCAGGACCGCGGAGCAGAAGCTTCCGAGGACCTTCCAGCTGGCCGACGTATGGAGATAATGGGCCTGGTGCATTAGCCGGGTTCTGGTTTTTATTTTGATCGAAGCATTTAGTGAAAGTGTCGAGAGCGGCTGTTATAAAGGACATACTTTAATGTTTCACCTGCGTGGAGTGACCTGTGTGTTCATGTTCACATCTGCTGCAGCGATGGCTGGAAGTTAGAGGGAAACAGCGAATTACGAAGTTGTGAGAACGAGACGGGTCTGGGCTCCTGACGTTCAGAGACCTCCACGTACCGACCCAAAACTTTTAATGTTTCATCTCTAAACTAAACGTCCTGCAGCTGAGACCCGAAAACTAAATCCAGCATTTAGTTATTTATTATTTTACTGAAAATAAAACTGATCAAAAGCTAGTTTTTACAGACAAACTGACTCAGAGAAGAGTCAGTGAGCCAGAGATTCCCAGGTGATCTCTAATTTAAATTAAGCCACTTAACTTTAGTAGATGCAGGATTTCTAACCAGTCAGACGACGAATAAAATGTGCTGTTATATGACACGTTTAGCATCGTGTTCCAGGTTTTAGACACGTTTTAGTAGAGAAGTTTAACCCAAGCTTCTGTTTGTGTTGCAGAGTTTTGCAGAGAACACCATGAACGAGTTGTTGGGTTGGTACGGCTACGACAAGGTGGAGCTGAGGGACTCCGACAACCTGGAGATCGGAGAGATGCCCCAGCACATCTCCGTCCTCAAAGGTAACTCCGGCAAACCGGTGTGACACCGCAATTCTAATAATAGAATAAATACAAGTCAATAGAAGCTGCTGCAGGATGTTCTTCAGCTTTCGTAGGAACCAAATTTCACAGACGTAGCCATTTACATTCTGATTTAGTTCCTTATTATTATATATATACTCTTTCAGCATCGTTTGGGTTGCAAATAATTTCTTTTACTTGATTTTTTTCTGTCCAGAAAACTCGTTGCCAAAAATCTCGGCTTTATCAGAAAACAGCGAAGGCTCCCCGGATGCAGCCAACAGCTCCCTGTGTGTGCCAGCATCCAGAAACGGAGTCACAGACCACTCCGCCACCGCGTCCACCTCCACGCCCGGCACCAAGGAGCACGGCGGCCTGCCCATCATGGTCCCCGTGATCCCCCCGCCGCTGATCAAGCCCCCTGCAGGTACAGAAAGGGCAGGACTCTTTAGTCCTTTAATAATAAAGTGAAGGAATTAATTAACCCTTGGAGGTACCTTTAAAAAAAACTACACTTGGGACTTTCACACACAAAAAAAATGCATTTTGTAAAAAGGTATAATAAAAATGACATAAAATTTTTACACAGATTCTTTCTTTAGCTTCAGTCCTCACCAAATATGGTAAAATATTTTAGAGTTTTTGAGATTTAACCCCTTTAGCACCATGTTTTGTCAAAAAAATAAATCAACACTATAAAAATATTAAAAACCCAATTATTTTTTGGGGGGTTAGGGTTAGATTTGGTTTGGGGAATGAGGGGAGGTTGAGAGCCGGGGGTGATCCAGACGGCAGATATCCTGAGCTGGAGAGGGAGCGCAGGGTTGAGAGTGAGAGCGGGACGGTCTGGGAGGAGGATGATGAATGTGGCTGAATGCGGAGTCCAGGAGTCCTATGGAGTTCGAGTGCGTAAGTCCGGATGAGCAGAGAGCCTGAGGTGGGTGAGTCCAAAAATACAAAAGATTACACAAGGTCCAAAAACGTACAAGAGCCCAAAATACACTGAGATTAATTACGAGAAACCAAGAGAGCTAGAGCGAGGGCTGGGCACTACCAAGTGGTAGTAATCGTCCGGCGTCGAGCTGTGTTCACCATCCCCTTTAGCAGTAGACCCGCTGAATCAGCTGATGTGATGCAGCTGCCGCTCCCTCTCCTGCGAACATACTCAGAGATGGTTTGTGAGAGCGAGTACTCACCCCGGCTCGCGGCAGTGCCCTGCCATTTAGAGATAATCCTTGACATTTGGTGGAAAAAAGTAAAAACAACTTCAGTCCCTGGTGGCTGCAGGAACACAGTTGGAGTGAATAAAAAATTATGGTGATATTTAGCTTTGTTTGAAAAATGTCATTTGAATGGGAGTCAATGGCACAAAAAATGTCTAAGGGACCTCAGTGTTCCTTTTTTGTCTATGCAATTGAGAAGTTATTGAGAAGTTTAATAAGAAATTAAAATCAATAGTACAACAAAAAAACATTTGCGGGTTACAAGCAAACACACAACTTACACGATGCTAAGTATGGGTGCAGGCAGAAGCATGAGCTTATAAGCCCAACCCCCCAAACCCTTTGAACTTAAGCAAAATTTTACAATAGCATACCAATTCCATACTTTTAACATCATATTTGAAATGTATGGGAATATATTCAAATCCCCATTCTTGCTTTATAAAAAATAATGACCTTTTATACTTTATGCATTTTTTCATTGACCTGATTCATAATATTTAATCACATTTGATTTAAACAAACCCTTAAACTTTACCATTGCTGAACAATCTTTTTGCTCCTGGTCTAATTTATTCCACACATCAACCCCAACACAAGAAACACAAAGTTGTTTCATTTTAGTTCTTACTTTAGGCTTTCTAAACATTTTATACCCTCTGAGATCATAAACACTCTCTCTGATCTGGAACAGATCCTGAATTTGTTTTGGCATCAAATTATTCATCACATTGTGCAGTTCTTAATGTAACTAATTCTCTTAGCTTTAATACTTTTAAACGAGTAAAACGTAAGTGTGTGTGCTCTCTACAAGCTGCTTTGTTTACAAGTCGAATTGCTCTCTTCTGAATTATAAACAAAAGCTTTAAGTGGGTTTCGTAGGTATTTCCCCACACTTCAACACAATACGGCAGAATTAAGGAACAGTACAAAAGATATAAAGCTTTTTCATCTAAAAATTCTTTAACTTGATAGAGAACTGCTAATGATTTAGATAACTTTGCTTTAATTGAGTCAATATGCGGTTTCCAACTTAACTTTTTCTATGGTTACGCCAAGAAATTTTATTTCATTCACTCTTTCAATTTCTGTATTATTTACTTTGTGTATCCACTGTAATTGCTCTATTAGTAAATATGATCCATTTTGCTTTATTTAAATTTAAAGATAATTAATTTAAGTTAAGCCAGCACTTTAATACATTGTTGTTTTTCTTGGGGGGGGGGGGGGGGGGGGGGCTTTTATTTTTGGTAAACTTCCCCAAAAACACACACCAGAGCAAAAATGAAAAGGAATTGCATTAGCACAGCCAAAGTTATTCAAGAAAACGTGACCGCCTGTGCAAAAAATGCACGAGGGACAACTAAGGGTTAAGACTTGTCCTTGTTTGTGAAAAGAACCAATTAAGGGTCCGATGTAATCATCCGCCCAGAAATATTTATTTGATTTTAGATAGGAAATAGTTTCATTTGTGGTTAATCTCAAAACAGCGAAGATAAAAACCAGCTTGCTGATTTTCAATCACTTTGAGACAAAAACTAAGTCTGCAGCGGGCTTTAACGAGCTCCCTACCTGCTGGACGCCTTATTTACCTCCACCTGCCCAAGTGTCAAACTCATCCCATCAACTCTCAGAGGAGACGTCGGCGCTCTCCGGCCAGACGGAGGGTTTTATTATCCCTCATGTCTGCTGTGGGCAGGAGGCCGCTACTCCCCGGCGGAGGGAGCGAGCTGCCTTGGCATCGCCCAAGAGGAGCCCTCACCGGCCCAGCTCAGGCGGGGAAACAGATGGCGCGGTCCCACTTAAAGCCTGGCAACAACCGACCGCCCGGCCGACACCTCCTTCCACTCTTCCTCCCCCGTCTCCCGTCCCCACAGGCTCTGAATTATTCATGCCCACCAGCGACCCTTTGAGGTGCAGGTACAGAAAAGCACGGCGGCGTCCCGTTTGTAGGCTGCATCATTTATTCCTGCAGACGCAAACGCTCCTCGGCGGGTCAAGGAACCATCATTTTTATTTAGCTGTTTTCTGTCTGTTGTTTTAAGCATCGTATAAACTCGGTTCGTCTCGGGAGGAAACCTTTCCTTCTGCTGCGGAGGGCTTCAGACAAACAGAGACAGCGCCAGAGAGCGGAGGGGAAGGACGGATGTGAAATGTGCCGTTTGGGTCCACTTTGCCTCGAGAGTTTCTCCTCCTGATTGTGAGTTCATCTTTACAATCTGATGCTTCCATTAAGCTCCAGAGGAGGTGAAAAGTCTTTCCAGCGGTGATAAAGAGGTGAAAAACCAATGGGCCTGCACCCCACCCCACACTCGCTCGCTGTGCTAATGTGATAATTGGGAGACACTGGAGGGAACATCGGCGCTTTCAGCAGCGCCGGCACCAAAAGCTCATCGTCGGCGGTCACAGTTTACCACAGAGGAGACGTGGCTGTCACCGAGGGACTGATCCAAGCTGAGCTGCTCCAGCATTTCATTAGAATGAACTGTTAATAAGCTGTAAAGGATGGATGCCAGCTGCAGATTTGCTTCTGTGACCCACAAACGTTCTCCCTAATGGTCAATTTTAACAAGGCTGCAATTAATGGAAAGTAAAAATTTGTTTTCTCACAAAAAACTAAATAATGAGCCACAGTCTAAGTTTACCCTCTGAAATCAGCAGAAAAATGAACCAAATGTTCTGTTCTAGTAAACATTTCTATGAAATATCACTTTTATTTAGCATTTCCTTTAAGCCAGGGGTCGATTCTTTTCAACTTTGCTCCATTTGATGGAAAGAAACAATTTCAGACCAACCTCCTCTTCGTCATCTTTGAGGTTTGTGTTTTCTTCTGTCCTCAGACGAAGACGCGTCTAGTGTGCAGATCATGTGCGCCTGGTGCCAGAAGGTCGGCGTCAAGCGCTACTCTCTGAGCATGGGGAGTGAGCTGAAGAGTTTCTGCAGCGAGAAGTGCTTCGCCGCCTGCCGCAGGGCCTACTTTAAGAGAAACAAGGTAGAATATTACACATATTATTGGATGTGACTGACCTTAAGACTTTACAGGGAAACGGGAATCCTTCCATCACACGTGATGCGTCCATAAAGCTCATGTCCCTTAGCTCACTACCCCATTAATACTCAGACTACCTAGCATTAGGCTAGCTAAGCTGACAGGTAGCTAATTAAACTAGCTAACTTGCTGATATCACCATGCTTGCCCCCTTGCTGATTTCTTTAGTTTTTCAGAATAAAACCAACTTTAACCCGAGAAAACAGAGAGGGACGTTTTTAAATGATGATTTCGTTTATCAGAGGAACGAATCCCTCTAAACCAACCTGGTCCTGTGTGGAAAAGTAAACCTACTAACTGGTTATGATTACTGGTAACAAGTTATTCCTGTGGAGGCGTCTGAGTTCAGCCCTATAGGAGGGTTTCTCAGCTGGAATGGCCTGTTTAAGGTCAAAGGTCAGACGTTCTACTTCAGGGTGTTCTGCTAGAGGGCAGAAGTCGTCACACGATGAAGTCAGCAGATGATTCAGGCTGTGAAGCTGCAGAACAGACCCAGACCACCACACTGCCACCACCATGCCTGACTATAGCTTTAATGCTTGTTTGACTCCAGATAAAACGGGACGGTCACCTTCCAGAAAGTTTATTTACTTGTGACATGTTCTTCTTGAATCCTGACCTCTGACCTTGACCTGAGTTAGGTGAGGTCTGCAGGGCTTTAGATGTTCTGACTTATTTTCCTTGTGAATTTGATTAAAGTGGGGCAGGGTGTGTTGCTTTTAGAGATCTTTTACCCTCCTTCATGTCGTCAGACAGGTTCTAGTGAAGGGATTCCTACAGGTGGTAGCGATCAGGAATGAGTGTAGCGAGTGAAATAACTAACTAATGGGGTTAATTAGAGGTTTAAAGGAACTCTACTGACTAATCTTCACATAGGTGTTGCCTTTCTTTAAGCAGGTCAGGAATCTCTTCTCCTTTGAGGGTTGGTCTGACCCAGTGGCGCTGATTAGGCCACACGAGGAGGTCTGGACTCCGTCTGTTTGTGTGGTGCTTCAGCAGCAACTCCAAGGCCACTCCACCTTCAGACATCCACCTAAAAGCTTACCCACGGACAGAAAAGACAAGCAGTTACAAGACAGCCAGTCCTCACGAGGGGCGCCGTTACCATCTGGCACAGGACCAGGCTGGTTTGGATGAATTTGTTCCCTCGGTAAATTAAATCGCCATTTGAAAAGTGAATCTGAGGTTTTCTCAACATTATTTACTGATCTGAAACGTTTAAATGACAATAAACAAAACCAGATGGAATCCTCAGGGGGGAAAAGCTTTTCCTGGCAGGTTAGGCTTGAGAGCGCGTCATGAACACAACGTATCGCACCAAAAAATAGCTAAAAAGAAACAGTGAGGCAAAGGTGTCAGAACATTTTTAAATAGATTTTTATTCTCCCAAAACTATATATTAAGTGTTTTAAATGTAGGGTTATAATCTACTTTAAAGATTGTTAAAAGTTTTGATGACTAAACATCTTACAATAAAACTACACATTCTCACTCCCAGCGCGTCAAAAACAAACGCTTGGTCAGCCACCCTCCGCCTCAGACCCCTGACGCCAAAAGTGCCCTTTTTCATTACTTATGTGCGAAAAGGGTTTTTTTCCCCTTTTCTGACTGCAGATCCCAATGCAGCGTAAAACTGACGCAATGGGATGTCCGCTGATGCGGCACCGAACCAGCTCATTTAACCGCACCTAACCCTTAACGTTTCACTATTTATAACCTTCCCCTCACCCTATCCTTAAAGGTTGGTTTATGCTTGACGCGTCCGCGAGGTCCGTGCGGCTCCGCGCGGCAAAATTGCGTCATTTTAACAACCACACCCCTCCACCGTGCCTCCGCACTGCCCAAAATTTCCGCACCGCGCACCTAGGAAATTTTGAAACCACGCGGACGGTCGAACGTGGAAAAACATGGCGGACTGGCAAGAACTAGTATGGCAGAGGTTCGTAAATACAAACATTTGTATGATTCAGCTCTCAGAGATCACCGTGATCAACATGTTGTTAATAATTCTTGGAGAGAAATAGCTCGCACTGTCGGAAAAGACGAGGACGCTGTTAAAAATGCTGGAATGCCATGTTGTAAACAACAGTAATTTCTACTTCTACTATGGTGTAGTGTTGGGTGCATGCCGTAGAGCTCCATGCTGCCCCCTACAGTTTGGGAGAATACTGGCTCACCGCAGAGACAAGCCGCATGAACCATAAACGCTGCAAGTTGTGAAGCGCGTTCCATCCGCGAGCCGCATCACCAAGCGGAAAGTAAATGCGTCAAGCATAAACCACGCTTAACCCTCTTTCTTCCTAAAACGTTACTCTCACTGTGATCAAGCGCTTGTTTCCCATGCATTCTGACTGAATTTTCGTATTTTCCACCCAAGGGGAACGTTAGAACATACCATCTGGCGAGGGGGAGGTTACAAATACCCTCTGCTTTTAACCTCCACCTTGGTAGTTGAAACCTCCCCCTCGCGTTGGCTCGGTCCAAACTCGACCAATGACGAGGCGGCTCCTGCCGTTCACTTCATAGAGCCGGCTTTTAGAGCGACCGACACATCACTAACGTGTTCGCTAGCAAGATGGTTAAGGTTGGGATGGGGTGAGGGAAGGTTAAATAAGAGGATAAGGTTAAGGTGAGGTACAATGAGCTTGTTTGGTGCCCTGGCTGTGGACATCCCATCACGTCAGTGTAACGCTGCATTGGGATCTGCAGTCAAATAAGGGAAAAACCCCTTTTCGCACATAAGTGACGAAAAAGGGCACTTTTGGCGTCAGGGGTCTGAGGCGGAGGGTGGCTCAGCAAACGTTTGTTTTTGACGCGCTGGCAGTGAGAATGTGTTGAATAAAACCAACATTTTTTCAATCACTTCAGAAATCATAAATGAAGCTGAACGTTTCCCTCACCATGATGCAGAAAGTGTTTTATTTCCACACGTTTACTGTGGTTAAACCATCTCCTTTCTCTTTTACGCCCAAGCTGGGATTTATAAGGAATTACACTGTGAGTATATCATGTTTTACTCTCCTGCTTGTTTGTCCTGAAGTGAGTTATTCATCCAAACATAATCATTTCTTATGCACCGAAGCAGACGGACACACCTGAAGTTTGTTAAATCTTTCATTTGCCCCGACACATCTCCCTGAAGCATGTAAACCCTAGCTGTCTGTCGTAACCACTACGATGCTGTCAGTCATGAGAGTTTTAAGAAGATGTCATTTTTTGGTGATTTTAGTCTGGAGTGAAACAAATTTTGATGGATTTTGTTTGACGTAGATGTTTTTCTCACGAGAGGGAGCAAATAAGTTTAGATTTTGGTTCAGATTTCAGAATATATCCGGGTCTTTCCACCAGACACCGACACTTAATACCCGCGAAACGTAGCGCGTGGCAATTAGCTGCCATTTTGGGTGTGTTTCCGCTGAAACGTTACGTTTTGGAAGTGTCCTGAAAGCGTAGGGACGCTTTACGCTTCGAGTCTATTTTTTACATTCTACGCTTCCAGAATGTGTCAAACCTATCAGACGGGAAGTCAAACACGAAAACAGTGTAAAACTTTCAAAATAAAATTCATGTGCAGATTTCAAGTATCTTAACTAGTAAAATAAGAACATTATTTCCTGTGAAACCTCCACAGCCGAGGTGAACAGAACAGAAAGTGAACTCATGCCCAACTGTCGCATCGAACGCTTTCGCTGCCGCTTCGTGTCTGAAACACTCGTGGTGGGAAGGGATCTCACGAGTAAAACTGTTACATTATGTGCCGCTTACGCATCCAGTGGAAAGCTGGGGGGTTTAACGCCGAAAAGAAAAAATAAATGGAAGGGTTTCTTTTTTAACAGCTCAGTGGCCTAGTGGTATGAGTGTCCACCCTGGGACTGGGAGATCAGGGTTTAAATCCCGGTCGGGTCATACCAAAGACCTTAAAAAAGGATCCACTGCATGTCTGCTTGACACTCAGCTTTAAGGGGTTGGATTTGGGGGTGAATCCACCAAATAGTTCCCAATCGCAGCTCACAGCTCCCCACGGGGATGAGTCAAATGCGGAAGACAGATTTCACCACGCACCAGTGTGTGTGACAACTGATGGGGCTCGAACCTTTTCTGTTGTGAGATTTACGTGTAAATGTTAAACGAAAAGCTTCAAATACGTAGAAAACTTGAGGCTCAGCTGTCGAAAAGTTGAAAAGCTACAAGAAAAAGGTAAAAAGCTCTATGAAAAACTGGTGCAAAGGCCTACATTACCCAAAAGGCCTTGCAGGTGCACTGTGTGGACCTGCTACTTTAGCTTTGAACAACTTTTAAATACAAAAAACAACAGCAACATTTTTTTTACTAATTCCAGGGAATGTTTGAGGCTTTTATTGTGAAGGATATAAAGCAGGTGCTAGACGTGATACAAACTCACCCAGCCTCGATTTAAAATAATAAAAAAATAAACAACAGAGCAGCAATCTTTGCATTTTTCCATTGCTCAAAAGTAAAGCCGGACAGGACCGTCCTTGCTGAATTTACTCAGGACGGGATTCTGAAAGCTCCGCCTTCTTTTGGATTATTCACGATGGAACATTAAGATGGTAACGTCTACACGAATCAACACCCGGAATAAAGCATCTTTTTTTAAATCACAAAACCGTCCCATTTGATTACAAAGAGGGGGCGGAGCTTAATTTTTTTACTGGAACCAGCCTTAAGGCGGCGCTTGTTTTGTTTTGATCAGCGGGTATCATTACTTCAACCTTTATTCTAAAAATTTCTATATTTATTTTTTTACTTTTTGACTGAAAACTACAAAATAGAAACCTTTCTACAGTTTTTCTTCCTTCCCTTCTGATCGATTTGGTGTCATTTAAACACAGAAACAGAAAAACGTTATTTAAGACATTTGCAGCACAGATTCAGTCTCCCCAGCATCCAGTAGAACGGCTGTCGTTTCCATCCAGCACCGTTGGGTCTCTCTCCTCCATCAGCAGAATTTTCAAACATCACAAACAGAAGGAAGAAGGCCTCGGTTCCCTCAGTGGCTCAGGTTCCATATTTTGTCTGGCTCTGGTACATTTATGCAGCCATCGGTGTAAACGATACCCATGTGTTTCTTTTCTCATGCGCCCACGAGGCCGGACACTACAACACCGCCTGCAGGCGTTCTCCTTTCCCCCAGCTGAAAGACAAAAAGCATCTCTTGTCTGTTTGTGATTGAGGAGAGGAGATGGGGTGGGGGGTTGTGCTGCATGAAAATATCCTCAGCTGCTTCATTCATGAAATCCAATCTCCTTCTTGGGTGAACACGGCTGCTGCTTTCTCACATCCCTGCATTTCACCGGCGTTATCTTCGGCTTGCTTGTGTGTTAAAGATGATCGATAGTCGCTTATAGTTGGGTTTAGATGAGTCCGTATGGAAAGTCCTGCTTCCTCAACAACTCTCTCTCTCTCTCTCTCTCTCTCTCTCTTGCTGTATTTTATTCTCCTTTTGACCGATTCGTAAACCCAGCTCTCCTGTTTCTGTGATGCCCCGTAATGTCTAACGTGTTTGCTGCTTAACAGGGTTTAATCTTTAGTTTAGCTGTCATCTGTAGGTTTAATCTACTAAACTGTCACATTTTTACTGGAATCTGCATGGTCTTCCCATTTATTTATCACCCACGTAAACGTACACATATACATCTGCATGCTCACTGGACACAAGATTAGAAATAAGATGCAGTAAATTATAAAAATCTATTAAATAATGAAACTAAAAACTGAATCATTTGTTTTATAATGTTACGGTAAAAAGTATAATGTAATGATTTTATTATATAATTAAATAACAATGAAATTAACAAAAAAATAGTGAGAAAGAAATAATACTGGTCTTTTCCACCTATAGATGGTCCACCAGGGGGCAGTAGACATGTATAGGACTGGAAATGGCAGTTTTCTGATGAAGGTACTAATCCTGATGCCCCATCTGGCTCTACAGTATTTCATTCCCATTCTGGTTTCAGTCGGGGACTGCCAACACCCAGGTTTTTGACCCAGGACCTACGTCACATTTGTACAATCACATTGCAGTGAAGCAATTTCTTCCAAACCCCAGTGATTGTGCAGAAGTCTGCCTGAGACCAGCAATCTGCAGCAATACTCAAGTTCCAACAGCTAAATGTGTTTCTTATATGCATTTTTCTAAATGTTTCCACTTCTATCCAATCATTAGCATAAGTACTTAGGTTAGTCCTGGACTAATAATTATAAACAGAGCGTTTTCTATAAGGCTGAAAAGAAGCTAGCCCAATGTGAAAGTATTGTATTGCCTGAAACTAAATTAGATCTATAACACCAACACTGACATGACCACAAGCTGTTGAATGTTAATGGTAATCATTTAGCGTTGACCTGGAAGAGGTAAAAATGTAACGTGATTGGGCAGATGCGATGGTGGTGTTAAACAATGGTAAGAGTAGTTTAGCAACAAAAACATTTGTCCACACTGGTTGATAAAATCTCACTCAAGATTTGTAGGTTTATTTAAAAAAACGTTAAAATGTTTTAAATGCTTGGATTAAAAATAAAAATCTTATTGTTGTTTGTTTGTCTTTCCGATCAAGAATTTTCAACGTGGAGTTGAGCTTGTTTGTTTCTTTGGTGATTTTTTTTAGCTGTTAGCAAATCACTCACAGCATTCTTAGGGGTTTCAAAGCTGCCTCAAAAACATTTACGAGGATTCTTAATCTCCTTGTTGAGCTGCAGGCCCACGCCGCCAACTCTGGAATTTGAAGAAACACATTTGCAAGACAAAAATCTCAAGAGTCACAGAGCGACCGTGGGCGTCTGAAACCTATGTGGAACATATCTCGATCACGTTTGGATCATGTCTGGAGCTTCTCTCGATAATGTCTGGAGTTTGTTTCTGTCACATTTGGAACTTGTCTTGATCATGTCAGGAGCTTGTCTCGATAATGTCTGGAGCTTGTCTCGATAATGTCTGGAGCTTGTTTCGATAATGTCTGGAGCTTGTCTCGATAATGTCTGGAGCTTGTTTCGATAATGTCTGGAGCTTGTCTCGATAATGTCTGGAGCTTGTCTCGATAATGTCTGGAGCTTGTCTCGATAATGTCTGGAGCTTGTCTCGATAATGTCTGGAGTTTGTTTCTGTCACATTTGGAACTTGTCTTGATCATGTCAGGAGCTTGTCTCCATAATGTCTGGAGCTTGTCTCGATAATGTCTGGAGCTTGTCTCGATAATGTCTGGAGCTTGTTTCGATAATGTCTGGAGCTTGTCTCGATAATGTCTGGAGCTTGTCTCGATAATGTCTGGAGCTTGTTTCTATCACGTTTGGAACTAGTCTCGATCACGTACGAATCGTGTCTGGAGCTTCTCTCAAAAATATCTGGAGCTTGTCTTGATTATGTCCGGAGCTTGTTGCTATCACATTTTAAGCTTGCTCTATCACGTTAGAAACTAGTGTCGATCACATTTGGAGCTTGTCTCGATCATGTTTTGAGCTTGTTTCTGTCACGTTTGGAACTAGTCTCGATCACGTACGAATCTTTTCTGGAGCTTCTTTCGAAAATATCTGGAGCTTGTCTTTATCACTATTGGAGTTTTTTTTGATTATGTCTGGAGCTTGTTTCTATCACTATTGGAGCGTGTCTATCACGTTTTAAACTAGTCTCGATCACGTTTGGAACTAGTCTCGATCACGTTTGGAACTAGTCTCGATCACATACAAATCATGTCTGGAGCTTCTCTCAGAAATATCTGGAGCTTGTCTTTATCACATTTGGAGCTTGTCTCGATCATGTCAGGAGCTTGTTTCAGCTTAGGTGTGGTATGCGTTTCCTGTCTTGTAATAATGTAGTCTTGGGTGTCTTGATAGGTGCTATTAAATAAAATGTATTATCATTATTATTATTAGTAGTAGTATTATTATTCAGTGTGCAAAAAAGTGAGGACAAATTGATACGTCATTTCTTTATTTGTTGACAGAATTAACAAAAGAGAATTTGTACGATATCACCATTTGTTGGCAGTTACGTCATGTGCCCCAAAGGTTTCGTACACTCTTCAGGGTGATTCAGACAGAAAATCTGCGTATTGTCCCATAATTGTATGAGTCCATCTATTTACTAAATAAGAAGTCACAACCCCGCGATAAAGAGACTTTAGTTTTGGTTTTAGTTGCTGCTGTGTTGACGACAATGAAACATTGCTTGATGCTGTTGTAACATCTCCAAAAACTGGATTTATTTGCCAGCAGTTTCAGTCGATTGAAAAGCTCTCCTGGTAAAAAGCTGCTCGGCCTAACTTGTCTTCTCTCCTGGTGATTTATTTAACATAACAAAGTTGGGAGCAGGGAATAGCGAGGCGATTCCACTTTGTGTAAGTCAGGTTGGTTTTTTTTTTGTTCACGTCATGAAATCCCTCCCCTCAGAGACCCCAGACCTCCATCAGTGTCTTTTCCCGGGAGCTCGCTCCAGGCGTGAGGGGGCAGAGTGTCGCTTCATGTCAGCCCAGAAATGTCACATCATCTCCAACACACACACACACACACACACACACACACACACACACACACACACACACACACACACACACACACACACACACACACACACACACAGACGACCGCGCGATTTCCTTTACACGCAGCCTCTCTGCTCCTCAACCCTCTGCAGTTTACTTTGCATCCCCATCAGCTGCCACATAGGGAGGAACCTGTAAGAGAGACGAGGGCGCTTGTGCACGTATGTCTGTAAAGGTGCTTGTGGAGGCGCGGTGTGCGTGATGAAGTGTGTAAAGTGTGTGCATATTGCAGCTGAGGCTCGCTAGTACTCGGGAAGCCTTCAGGCTTTCTTTACAGCGCTTCAGGGCACAGAGAGGAAGGTGATTATCTCATAGCTGCCAGCCATTCAGCTGAAATAAAGACTAAAGTAACTCCAACTAACAAGACGTCGAGACTGGAAAAGTAAACATGAACTTGGATACCTTCTGTGTTCTTTCTTTAACTCATACTGCAGGAAGAGTGGGGAAAATGTTCCTTCATTTCTTTATTTCAGGTGTATTGTGACGATTCTAGAAAACGCCCTGCGCCGCCTTTTAAATTATTTAAACAAGATGTTATTCCACTGAGGAAAATATGTGTTGGCTTATTTTTTTTTTGACTATATATATTAAAAAATAAAGACCTGTTAGTCCTTGAAGCTCTGCCTGGTCTATGTCTCTTACCAGAGTTTTAAACTAAGAGCACGATGGAGTTTTAGCAGTTTTGGTCAAATCTAAAAAAGTAAAATGCAGTCTGATGTTGCAAAGCCTTGCAGGATCCATTGGCAGTCACAGAACGACGTTTTAGCTCGGCGTTTGGTTCAAGTTTAAGTCTTAAAGTCTGAGTCGAGTCCCAAGTCTTTTGTGATTTCTTCAAATCGAATATTAGGTTGTTTGGTTCCCAGAGCGACACGCTCTAACCCCGCCTCACTATTTGAACTCTTCTGTATTAGTTTGAGTCAAAGCTGATAAATTTAGTGATTTTTCCAAAGATCCGTCCGGTTAAGGATCACCCTTACATTCTCAGCTAGCTAGGAGCTACTCAGGAGCTACCGATGAGTGTTTCCTCCTGCATCCCAGGATGCAACATCTGGCCGTTGTGTCGGATCACATGAATACTGTGAATAAACCGAGACCACTTCCTCCAGCGGGTCTCGGTGCAGTTCTGTTGTTCTGCTCCCAGGTGAGATTCCTGTGTTCGCACCTGCTCCAAGGAATCGAACCAGGGAGGGAAACGGCCCAGGGTTGGGTTTAAACGGACTAAACATGCAGGTGTGAAAACATAAGTAGTGACTCCACACCTGTGCTTTCCGAAGCTTCTGACTAAATTAGCACGGAATCAACATTTTATTTTGTTTATAATTTAGACTGAATATTAACCGCAGTTCATGCTGTGTTGGTTTTTGGAATTTAGAAAATGCCTGGAGCGCCTTTCGTTGGGAAGAGCAAATCCCTTTGTTTTTGGCAGGTGATGGAGACGCACACACCCGTACAGGTATGTGTGTGTGTGTGTCCAAACTATCCAGGCAGCTGGTGTGATGTCTCCTCAGGACGGTTGCATCACCATCCATCCATCCATCGTGGTTCTGTCTCCTCCGCGGTGCCAACACCTCATTAGTACAATATGTAAATGATCTGGATCGAGGCCAGAGGGTCAGAGCACAAACTGGAGGCAGAACAATAGCACAATGGTGCATCTTTCTTCCTTCATGCGTGTGTGTGTGTGTGTGTGTGTGTGTGTGTGTGTGTGTGTGTGTGTGTGTGTGTGTGTGTGTGTGTGTGTGTGTGTGTGTGTGTGTGTGTGTGTGTGTGTGTGTGTGTGCGTGCGTGCTCTGCAGAGCATTAGTGTTCCCGTGGTTTCCAAATTCCTGCCCTGGATAAAGCGTGCTCACCTCTCCCGAGTCTGTGGAAACATATTGCAGGCGTTAGTGGGTCAGTGCACCAAGAGCAGCTAAATAACAAACGCTCCTGAAATCTGTGGGTTTTCCGTCGGCTGTGAAGTAGGAGAAGGAATTACCCTGACAAATCAGAGGGAGCCGGTTATGAAGATGAGCAGCTCAGACCGATAGTAGATGTTAAATCAGTGGCCCGTAGATCTACTGTTTCATTATTTCACACTAATGTGACATAACAATCCAGAATCTGTAACCCTGTAATGTCCACACCAAGAAAAAACAAGGAAACATGTTTTATTTTGAAATATTTGGGGTTATGATTCATACATACTTTAGATTTTTTTAAGCTCAGTTTCGAGTTTCAAAAAGATAAATATTGAGTCATGAAGCAACGATCACAGTGGAATATTTTACATGTGAAATCAAAATAAATTAATCAATTATTTGATTGCAGTTCCATAAAGTAAAATATTATCCTTAAATTCAACAGGCTTGGTTTTTTAGTGCAGCCTCCAACTTCCTGTTGAATTTATTTATGAACAAATCTGTTTTAAAAACCCAGAATTCAACATGGCGATCTTTTCAGAGCTTTTTAAATGTTTTTTTATTAATAAATAGTTCATTAGTCCTTAAATAAAATCTAAACGAAACTAAACATCTGCAGCCACGTCATCCTGAACATCTGCATCCTTTCACAGCCTCCATTCCTCTTTTGTTGTTCTGTTGTTTTATCATTTATTTGTTTATTTGTTGCCTCTGTTTATTTTGTCCATCCATAAAAAGAAGCCATTATCTGTCCCCCCCCAGGCGAGAGACGAAGACGGCCTCGGTGGGAAATTACCCCGGCTCGTCTTTACTCAGGACACACCCAGACTTGTCTTCAACACAAACAGCGACGTGCTTGTAAGGAACGCCAGACCCAGGCTTCTGCTTCCGTGTGTTTCCCTGCTTAAAACTGTGATTTTATCAGGTTTGACAGGATGATTCGTCACGTTTGAGTTTTTCATAACTTTATTTTGGATTATGTTTATTTGCTTTAATCATTCTCATTGTACATCACATTCAGACACCGGAGATTTATAGTTTATTTAGATCATAATTCCTTTTATTTAACTGTTTTTATTCTGGACATAGAAAACGAATCAGACACAAACTAGTGAACAAAAGCTGTCGGTTTGAACATTTATCACGATAGAACCAAGACATGTTAACCAAGCCAGGGATTGGTGGAAAATAAATAAATAAAAAGGAACCATAAGTTATATTTATTTTATTTACCAGCAAAAACAAAAAATGCAGGACAACTGTACATTTATGGTAATTTTATTTGGAAAGTTTTCCATAAGTTTGACACCATCTTTGTACTTGTTTCTTATTTATTTTTGTTACTTCAGTCAAAAACGACCATATTTAATGTAATTATCACAGTAACAGCCTGGTAGGGTTTAGAAACCTTTAAACCCCTCTAGGCAAATTTACATGTTTTAAATCATTTTCTTGAGCCAGTATGTGCTAAAATGACCCTTTAGGGTTAATGAAATGTGACTCCGACTCCCACTGCCCTCTCTGGCATGAATACCGTACTTGCAACTTCAGAGTGCCGGTTCGGTCCCTGTTGTCAGTGGAGCTGACGTGCCTGGTGCTGGAGTCTGCTTCCAGCATGTTTTAGATGGTGAACACAGCTGGTTCGTTTGATTTAGTGATGAACCGCTCCTGAAGACAGGGAGACATTTCAGCAGTTAAAGAGCAAGTCACCCCCAAATCAACTTTTTTTCCCTGGTAAACTATATAAATGTGTGTCTAATCGTGCTGCAGACACGTGTCGTCAATAGTTTTGCACTTTAGTGCATTTTAGTTAAAATTTAAATTTTCTGCCTAAAACTGTCAGTGTTGTGCCGTTGTCAGGTAAAAACTCTACACTGCATTTGAATTTAAATCTGCCATCGCTATTAGCTAAGAGCTACCCTAGAAAGTTGGCTGGTACCATATGATGTCACAATGTCGTTATGAGCCTGTGTGTGTGTGTGTGTGTGTGTGTGTGTGTGTGTGTGTGTGTGTGTGTGTGTGTGTGTGTGTGTGTGTGTGTGTGTGTGTGTGTGTGTGTGTGTGTGTGTGTGTGTGTGTGTGTGTTTGTTAGCGGCTCCGCCCTCTCGGTCTGCTAGGCAACATTTGTTGCATTTTTCAAACAGGAAGTGGGAGTGGAGTAATACTCTGGTAGGGGGTGACTTGCTCTTTAAAGTGTTGAAAAGACGAACGCACAGCGAGGAGATAGGTTTCACTTTTGGTTTCACTAACAGACACTAGGGGGTGCTAAAAGCAAGCCAAAACTGCAAAGTGCCCCTTTAAATTAATGAGAACTACAGAAAATATATTTTATCTAATAAAAATAAAAAACAGGACACTTTTAATGGTCGTAGATCATCCAAAGCTCTTTCTTGGTAGATGTTTGTATTTTTCATTTAACAATGCTAAATTTATAAATTCCAGAAGAATCAGAAATAGATTAACAAAAAGTTAAACAGGAAGAAAAAAAAATAAACAAAATAAGGGATAAAAACAGAAATAACAAAGATCATGTTGGAGTTTTGTGATGAAAAAGCTTCTCGTGTTTATCTGTGTGATCGCAGACTCTGCGTCGGTTATCAAAAACACCACAGATCAGCAATACTGGCTCTAATTAATCACATCATGACGGGTGGGGAAGATTCATCCCCTTAGAGAAGTTACACACACGGACCCCGGTTATATCAGGGCTGGTTTGTCTGCAAGTGAAATCTGTAAAAGTAAAATCTGAGTGAAAAAGAAGAATGGAGGTTTCCAGGAAACCAGAAACAAACCTGAGGTGCACGTGATAAACCCTAAATTCTTCACTAACCTGCAGCAGCCGCTCGCTCTCTCGTCCAGATTAAACAAACGAGTTTTAAATCTGCTTTTTAGTAGATGTGCTTGAACCTGTTAACTTTTTTTTATTGCAAAATCCAATATCAGACACTGAATCAACAGTAATCTATAAACAGTTTTGCACATTTCAGCAGAAAATCAGAGGAATTGGACTTCCTGCAGAGACATTCGAGCCGTTCTGTCTCATCGTTCGTGCTGCTGAGGTTGTTTTATTCCTTTTGTGAACGTTTGCTGGGGAATACTTCACCTGGAGAAGTGAGAACGGCCTTTGTGTGTCACATTTCTAATGACTGATGGGACGGCGCTGCACGGCTCTGCTGCTCTTAGGCTTTTATCTGCAGTTTAAACTCGTCTCCATAGATTTTAATGAAGTCGGGCTCGCGGTGCTGCTAAAGCACAGGAACCGTAGATGAACTGGACATTTAGGCGGTCTAATTTAAATCATCACAAACGTACGGATGACATCACTCAGGACAAGTCTTCAAATGAAACTGTGTAAAAGTTTTACCAGGATGATGCCAACAGCAGAATAGAGAGTTTTTCCAAACCAGAGGAAAACATCTGGAGCTGTCAGGATTTGATGCAGCTTGTTGACTATTTTCAGCCTCTTCTTCATCACCTAAACTTTTGTATTTTAAAACGATAGTTCCCTCTGTCGTTTAAGCTTGTTTCTGTTCTCGTATTTTCACACGTTTTAATCCAGCTTCCTATGTCACCCAGCTATTTCATTCTGACTAGTTTTGCACTAAAGCCGGTGGTTTTCTCATCTGTGACTTCTGAGTGTCTCACAAGGTGAGAAGATGAAAGGAGGAGGAGCACCATAGCCGCTCAGGTGAACGTGCTTGTTTAGCGGCACGATAATTGTCATGCAAATGGTTAAGTTGGCCATGATGGAAATAAATGACCGTAATTACATCCAACTGCAAACATCTGTGCGCAGCAGCGAGGAGAAGAGCGTTAAAGAGAAAGCACAACTCCATTAGCGTAATGCGCGGTGAAATTTTCACTCATGGTGCAGAAAGTCGTTAAGTGCTCTCCATCTGTCTTTCTGAGTCGAGGACATTTTCACCACATTCATTATTTAAAACATCCCGGGCCTTACATGATCAAACTCAACTTGTGAGAGCACCTTTCTGACTTTTACGCGGTCACGGCTCGTTGGGTCAGCCAGGCTAAACGGGAAATCCAGGAGATTTACCCCCGGTCAGTCCTTTCCTGCTGCTTCAGTCAAACGCTGTGTGAAAATGTTCATGAGGAGCAGACCTTAAACTCACGATGGTTTAGTCGTGTGACTGAAATGTACTTAGGTCCTGGTGTGAAAGTCTGAGTTGGTCTTTTAGCTGCTGTCAGACATGATTCTGCCAAACGAACCAATGTTGTTCAGCACTGTAGAAAAAAGGAGTTTATGCACCTTCCAGTTGCATCCCTCAACTTATTAACATTCAGCAGGGGGGCTAAAGGGTCCTTGTGATGGATGGATGTCGCTGAAGGGTCTGACAACTGATTAATGCCTTAATTATCTCCAGCGAGGACCTGCCACTCCTCCCGGAGCTGACAGAGTGAGCTGTGTGTGGCCTGACGAGCAACGTCGTGTTCGGGCTCGCCCACTGCTATCTGCTTTACCGGAGGTCACATTCATTTTCTTCCCAAAAGAAAAATGAGCACATTTCAGCACCCAAAAGGTGCGCAACGTTGATGAAGCAGTGCGGCAGCTTGTTTTGGGACCCGTTCCACCAGGGGGATTTACAAACTCTTAAAATGAGCCGTCACGCGTTTGGGCCGAGCTCCAGCCCAGCAGCGGCGCGCTATCATCCCAACACACTCACGTACCGCTAACCAAATCAATCATTTACTCTTTAAATCCACGCATTCATCCAGAAGCATCAGAGTTTAACTAAAACCCTTCACAGAGAGACTGACTGTATTTGATGCTTTCGGGTATGGAAGCATAAGTGTAACACAAATCACACACGCTTCCGTATTCGGGATGAATTTGCAGCATCAATCAGAAACTTTATAAAAAGTGAACAGAAACGTTTTTTAGCAGCAACAAACTACAGTTTTGTTTAGTCGATATTTAGAAAATTTGGCAATTTCTGTAAACAGAAGGAGCACTGCCAAACGTGTATTAAAATACCAAAAAATAAGTTAAAACCAGGGATACTTTAATTCAATTTAATTCAATTAAATTCAAAAATACTTTATTAATCCCAGAGGGAAACTGATTGCTGTAGTAGCTCAGAATAATAATAATAATCAAGTCATCAAAGAGGTGTTGTATATTACAATGGCTGTTGGCAGGAAGGATCTCCAGTAGCGGTCAGTGTTGCAGCCAAACTGAAGAAGCCTCTGACTGAAGACACTCTTCCGTTGTCGGACAGTCTTGTGAAGAGAATGCTCAGGGTTGTCCATCATTTTCTTGATTCTCTGGAGAATCCTTCTTTGCATTATCTCCTCCAGCGGTTCCGAAACTGCCAAAACTCTGGCTGAGTCCTTGCAAGGGCTTGGAGTTCCTCCATCTTGTTGGCCAGTGATCTCACATTGCCCATTATGATCGATGGAAGAGATGATTTGAATTTCCTCTTTCTCTGTCTCCGTTTTGCTCCCGCTCTGCATCCACGCCAGGGCCGGAGTGGGACACATTTTCAGCCCTGGAGTTTCAGACCCCAGACCGGCCCACTTAACGAATTATTATTAAAATCATGTTAGAACTTTATATGTATAGTCTACAAAAGCACACTACTCGGTAAAGCCTTGTAATTCAGTGCAAGAAAGAGTTGCTTTACAATGTAGGTTTATTTGAACATCAGTGCACATCTCCAACATTGTTCTTTACAACACATTCTCTAACAATCTAACAATCTACCTTCTGTTCAAACAGCTGTTCTGAGATTTTCAAACCTTTAAAATGAAATGACTCAGCACTCCCTTTCACACTTTTTCCAGTTTCCCTAGACTCACCTGCACACAATTAAAATAATCATCTGTAAAGCTTTAGCACATTTGATATGGAAAACACATTTTTTGTAACCAATTAAAATATTTTTATGGCAAAATATGCAGGCTTATTTCATTTTACTTTCATTCTAATAGCGATCTGTTGTGGGCTTTGTGCATTTACTAATAAAAATGCAACAGGTCACTACTATTATTTGGACATTAAAATTATTATAATGAAACTGATGTTTGCACATGAGTTGTCTCACCTATTCCTTCTATCCCAACAGGAGCAATACCCTCACTGCTGGCTCCTGGCTCTTCTTCTGACACTACATTGTGTGAAAATGGTCACAATTCAGCATTCATTTTCCTTTTTTACACGCTTTCTGATCAATGCTGAATCATCTAGCATTTTAGAACACTTTCATATAGAGCCAGGATAGTTTTCATCATATAAATTTTAATAATACTCAGTTCACTGACTCAATAAGTAATCCTACCTGTACATGCCCGCTCTGGAATTGTGGGCTTCTGCCTGGTGCTTATTAGGCCTACTGGATCTTGTGTTTGACTCTGAGGGGCTACAAGACAGTTTGGTGGCATCAGTCACATCATACTGTTAACTATATTACATAACGTTATGTCATGATGCCATATAATTCATTATTGATGCTTAGTTAACTTGAATGGTGATTTGCAGCCGGTAAAGTTTAACATCATGACTTGCCTTACCCGTTTTATCTTCATTTGAAGTTAAAAACCGCGAGCTTGTTTGAGAAAAAAGGTGCTCATTTTTGCACATTTAGCTGCATCTGTTTCCAGCGCTTTCCTCTTTTTAATTCTTGCCTTCTCCGAGCCACCCTTTCTCTTTCTACTTTCCATCTTTCCAGCAACTGCGTGGTCACGTGGTGCGCACAGGCGCATACAGGGAAAAAAATAACGAGCTGCAGCCTGCAGGTAGAGCCAGCCAGAGACAGCACACCGGGAGGAGCGTATGAGATCAGCCCGGCGGCCTCAGTGCCATGACTGAACACCGGCACCAAAAAATAAAAATAAAATGATAAAAAACAAAAACGAGAGCACCGGCCCATGCGGCCCAAACATCGCGCGGCCCACCGGGAATTCTCCAGACCCTCCCGATTAGCCACTCCGGGCCTGACCCACGCTTCTTGTGTTTTAGCTCATTTGGGATTTGTGGCTTCAGTTGAGGTATTATTTCAGCCTTTCCAATGTTAATCAGCTGCTCCCGATTGTAAACCAGCTTGTTGCCATGGTTACGCATCATAACAAATGCTCAAAAAGTGAAAAAAAGCTAAAAAAAATAGCAGTAGAAATCCTCCAAACTTCACAGCACCAGACACAGAAAAGTAAAGTGTCCAAAAAAATACAGTTTTTCATGAGAAACTAGAAGAAAAAATGCCCAAGAAAAGGCAAAACTTACATATAGTCAACAGAGCTACTCCAACATGCAGCCGCCCAGAGCAGCGCAGTTTACTGGTTTAAATCAAAACGACCAAATTCAGAAGGATAAATAAGGAGTCATATTCATAAGTTAACAGCTATTGAAGGCCATAAAAGCTGCCGCAGCTACCCGGGAGCTGTTTCTGCTAACAGGCTGGCGAACACCAAACTGAAGGACGTCGTCTGCTGTGAGACGTTGTCTCCTACAGCCCTGAGTGTCTTTAATGAACAGAAAAAGGATTTCTTCTCCACACAGGCCGTCACATGCACGCTCACACATGCACAAACCCAACACACACGTGCTTTATGTAAAAGTCTAAAATGTTTTCCCTTGAAACATCCAGAGACATATTTTATGACATCAGTTTCCTTGAATGTAACCTTTTTATTTTTAGGATTCTTCAAACCAGATTTTAATTCAAGCCAATGTGAAATCTTTACAAAGCAGCTTGAGGGGAACTGATCAGATGCGTGTTTGCTTGCAGGTGTGTGACTGGTGTAAACACATTCGCCACACAAAGGAGTACCTGGACTTTGGCGCTGGGGAGCGGAGGCTGCAGTTTTGCAGCGCCAAATGTTTGAACCAGTATAAGATGGACATTTTCTACAAGGAAACCCAGGCCGCCCTGCCCGGAGGACTTTGTAACCCCGGACTCGGGGCAGGTGGGGAGGGTAAGCCGGAGTGTGTTGGGGGGGTGCAGCTGCTGACTCCCGAGTCGTGGGGAACGCCGTTAACGGACCTTCGGCGTAAAGCTCCCTCACCAGGGGGGCATTCCAGCGCCTCTGCTTTGGCCCTGTCCACTTCTTCTGCGCCCTCCCCCTCAGATACAGCGGCTGTCTGCTCCCCTTCCTCCTCCTCTTCAGCTAAAATCCCAACACCTAGACCCCACGAAAGCCCAACCCTCCCCCCACCACCAGTTCCTACTTTGCACCCACCGGTTGGGATTCCCTCCGGTAGCCCTCCCATGGTGATGACGCCTCGAGGACCCATGTCTCTCCCTCTGTTCATGGAGCATCAAATGATGCAGCAGATCCGGCCCCCCTTCCTTCGCCCCTCTGCCCACCCAGCAGGACCCAACAGCCCATTGTCCAACCCCATCATCCCTGGAATTGGACCACCTCCTCCCCCAAGGAATCTGGGTCCAGCATCAAGTCCCATGCACAGACCTCTGCTGTCACCACACCTCCACCATTCATCTAATCCCAATCCTGGTCTGCTACCGCCTCACCCTGGTATCCCCATGCCAGGTCTCCCCCCTTTCCCCCCTATCAACATGTTACCCAATGGACCCATCCCTTTGTCCCCAATGATGAACTTTGGGATGCCATCCTTGGCCCCGTTAGTGCCCCCACCTACTCTCTTGGTCCCATATCCCATTATTGTACCCCTCCCAGTCCCAATACCGATCCCAATTCCAATCCCCTTTACCTCCAAAACTTCCAAGGACCAATCAGAGAGCAGTGGCTCTGTCCGTAGTGGTCCAGAGTGCTCTGACACGTCGTGCTCCAGGCCTCATTCACCAAACTCGTCTGGAAGTGACAAAGGGGACCATAAGAGCGAACCTCCTGGTGCTGAGCATGTTCCTCCTCTACCTTCAGAGAGGAGCAAGCTCACATTTTTAGACTTGACTGTGAAGGCCGAGGACAATTCAGCCAACCTTTGTCCAACCAGTGGTTCTGGACTGGTAGATGGTGTAATTGACTTAACGGTGGGCCAAAAGCTGGGCCACCAGCACCTTATTCAGAGGATGCTACCTGCGGTCCAGGTTAAAGTGGAGGCGGAGGCTGAATCAAGATCTCCACCTGCTGCTGAGTTGGGGAGAGAAGGGGCCATTGATGATGGAGACAAAAGCAACGCCGCAGAACTGGAAGAGATCTCACACCTTGGCTCACAGGATTCTCCAGCTGCACTTTCAAGTAAAACTCTTCCAGTGAGCCACTTAAGTCCCAGCTTTACCCGCACTCCCACTTCGTTACGGACCTTACCCTTACCCCTGCCCCAGCTCCAAGCCAACTCCACTGCTCCTTGTAACGTAATCGTCAACGGCACCACATGGCATTCGCTTCTCACTCCTCCGTTTGAGTCCTGCCCTGACCGAAAAGGAGACCGGGAGGCCGAGGATCGGCCAGCCAACGGCGATCTGGAGCACGAAGCGTTGAAGGAGAACTGTTCGGTGAGAGAACGTGAGATGGGAAAAAGGATGTCCACACAAGACGAGAAAGTGGACGCAAAAGCGGAAGGAAAGGCGGATCTGGACTCCAGCTTGGAGGAGGGTGAGCATGCCTATGCCTTACCGCTGCTGTCAGCTGGAGGTTGTGTCGTCATCCAGCCTGTGCCAAAGCCTGCTGCTGATAAAACGGCCATCTTGTCTTGCTCCATCACCGCGCCGCTGTCATCAGCTGGGAGCCCCGAGCTGGAGCCGCCACTGAAGAGGAGGTGCCTGCGAATCCGCAATCAAAACAAATGAGGTGGGTTCATCCGAGGCCACTCAACGAAAAGTCACACAGAGCTTAGCTGTCTTCTGATTTTGTAGATCCCACCGGGGCTCCAATCAAATTACCACTGGTTTCTTTCTTTTACCCTCTGCATTGTTCCGCTGATGAACTCCAAATTATTTTTACTTCATTCAAAATTCTTTAGCAGGCCTTGTGCTCTTTATGTGCAGACTCCTAATCCTCTGAAATCTTGACAGTTTTTGATGTTATTGAGATTTAAAAATAAGGTTTAATCAGTTTCTCAGTGTGATGCCTAATTCAGGGGTCGATGTGATGTTGACCTCGAACAGAGAGCAAAGAAAATGAGTTACTACCACAAAATAATCAATAAAATGATCCAGTGTAAATGCGTTGGGCCTTCAAATGGGATTGTGTGTGAAGAGAGGAAGAAATCCAGCAGCGGTAAGCGCAGGGGTCAAGGCGATCTGGGAGGTTTCTTTTTAATGAAGGGAGTCGAGCTAACGGTCCAAACTTTATCGGTAAATGACATGTTTGCAGTTTTACACCATGTATGCATTACAGTTATTTATAGTGTTACTAAAATTATAATCTGACTGTCTCTGCTTTGTTAGCATCTTGATGCTAACAGATGCTAACTAGGCTTGGGCAGTATCCATATTTTACTACCGTCTAGCTTCCTCCACCGTGGTACCACGGTGTACGGTATTACCGGGTCTAGTTTCAAAGTGAAGATGTAAGTCTCAAGTGGAATTACCAAACTGACCCCACCCTTTTCCGGCTTCAACCTTAGAAGTTGTGGACTGCGACTGCTGAAAACCCGCGTCAGTGAGCACGTGGCACCGACATACGGGGTCTTTGGTGTTAGTCGTGACATCAGGGGAAGGCTGGCAGCTTATTTACACCAGAGAAGCGCGTCTCTTTTAATAACAGGCTCCAGACAGAAAGCTGCTATTTATACGGGGTGTGCGTCTTTCACTGTTTGCACAAATGACCTCATCACTGTTTACCTGCTCTCCTTGTAAGTCTGCTTCGAACCCGAAATACTCTCAAACTCACCCCTTTTAGACGCCTAGTCAGCTGGCGTGCGAGCTCTCATTTTTCTCTTTGCACTCACGTGATGACATCATGTTCATTAACTTTATGGAACATCTAAAATTTGGACAAAACATTTTAAACTAAGTAAAATCAAAAATTCGACCGCTCATCCGTTCTAAACATTAAATAACCTTTATTTATTTATTTGCTTATTTTTTAATCCTTGTCGCCTACGTGCACCGTTTTCGTGATGGTAACTGACACCGTCGCCATGTTTTAGCACCGGTGTTCTGACTGTCCGTGCTTCCTCGTCGAATTTTCCTACCAACGCGCATTTCAACAGCTGATTCAGTCTGACCAGGTTTACTGAAAATCGGTAGCTACTGTTAATTTATTTCATGAAAAAAAGTGGATAGTGTAAGAAGCAGTTTAGTCATTTCATAAAAATTAACCCCTTAGTTGCTAAAAGCATTTGAATATTCTCAGAAGTTGAACAACGACGATTTACCAACTACTTTCACCCATGTCGAGAAAGTGATTCATAAAAAAATGGACATTTGTGAGACGTTAGCTCTTACTGTTCTATTTCTCTACCTAATCCTTTATTCATGGACGTCATTTTCACTTTAGAAGTGGGGGGTATTTACAGTATGCTCTAATGGGAAACAGGCTTCAACACAAACGGTTGTTCTCTGCTTGGTCCTAGAGCTCAGCCAGTGTCAGTTTAACATAGCATAATATTGTTTTCGGATGGTAAAAAGTGCAGGCGTCAAACCTTGACTTTGGAAAAAGTGGGGGGGACATGTCCCCCCCCCCCAAAAAAAAATTACGTCCATGCCTTTATTAGACAAATTAATCCACATAGAACAAATATGCTTTCCCCCAATACTTATAGTTATTTGTTTGAATGTATAATTTTGGAGATTATTATTCAACTATAATAAATTTATTATATGTATAATATAAAACTTTAGGATATTAATTTGGGACTCTTTCAGAATGACTGTAAACAATGGGAGAAATTTCTTGTTTACAGTATAATAACGATATTTTGGAAGCCATTTACAAGCTAACTGTCAGGTAAGCACGCAGCAAGCAGTAATTTAATAAATCAACTTAAATACTGTGACCCTCGATGAGTTGAAAGTAACTAGATAAGTGACGAGATTAAACGTAAACATCCACAGGTAGCGCATCTCGACTTGTAAGCAGCCCGTGACGCGATTCTCGGCCTGGCATTTCCCCAAAGTAGCACATTTCGACAGGGAGCACGGATAGTCGGAACACCGGCTGTTTACGGTAGTACCGCCCAAGCCTAGTGCTAACAATGCTAACATATGGCTAACAAGTTAGCAGAACTACGGCAGAGATAGTAATCAAATAAACACATTTTTAGTGCTAGCCCCTGCTAGAAAAACCAGCATAGCTGGTAACCAGCATAGGCGACGGTGGCACAGGAGTTGAGTGCTCGCCCCGTAATCGGAAGGTTGCAGGTTCGAGCCCCGCTCAGTCTGTCGCTGTCGTTGTGTCCTTGGGCAAGACACTTAACCCACGTTGCCTGCTGGTGGTGGTCGGAGGGACCGGTGGTGCCGGTGCTCGGCAGCCTCGCCTCTGTCAGTGCGCCCCAGGGCAGCTGTGGCTACGTCGTAGCTCATCCCCACCAGTGTGTGAATGGGTGAATGACTGATTGTGTTGTAAAGCGCCTTGGGGGGTTCCAGGACTCTAGAAGGCGCTATATCAAATACAGGCCATTTACCATTTACCATATGTTGTGTTTTGGTGCTGGTCTAGCTTGTCCTTGCTGGTTTATGCTGGTCCACCAGCATAAACCAGCTAAACCAGCACCAAACCAGCATGGACCAGCAAAGACCAGCAAGGAAGCCATGCTGGTCTTTGCTGGTTTTTCCAGCAGGGCTGCTTCGTTTCTCTCATAAACGCACACTGTTGTCAGACAGGAAGGGATGAGGGTTAGGTTGTGTCACTTCTAAAACAGTCCTGGTGGAAACAATCCTTAAACATAGGTCGTTTCTCAATACTTGACAAGTGTTCTTGGTCAATACAGCAGAAAGGTGGTTGTACCGAGTACAGGAGGACGAGGACGTTTGGAACAGAAGCGTAGGGCCATAGCAACAAGCGCTGCTTTATGCTAAGGTTAAAAATATGACCTGAGTTATAAATAAACTTTTTAAAATCAAAACAGATAAAACACCAACATTTTCCAGTGCAAACAGAGCTATTTAAGGCAACACTGGTTTTATTTTGTAGTGATAATTATCATCCTGAGATTGCTTGGGTTTGAATAAAAAAAAAACACTTTTGGAAAACGGCTGTGCTCGAATACGATGATCTTTCTGCTTTGGTAACACCAACTCTCCCGCCCCACCAGCTGTGGGACACACTTAGAGCTAAATGTTGTTTAGTTGAGGAGTCAGCATAATTGTGAACAACTCTTGTGCAAAGTGACTCAGAGCTGCAGCTGTTTTAGATGCAGGAATCAACCCGGAACCAGTCCGGCTTTGAGTTACCATTTGCAGGTAAGGTGCCGACTGCTCATACAAACAGCAGCGTTGACGCGTCTCTGAGCGGTTGAAAACATTTAAAATGTGTTTATTCTGAATAAGTCGCAGGCTCGTGGGTTTGTTAGAGATATGAATCCATCACAAACGTTTCTACGTGAGCCTGTTGCTCTGAGACGTGTTCAGGTCACACTTTTGAGCTCTAAAACCTGAACAGGAAGTCTTTAACCTCAAAGGATTTATTCATCACGTTTAATGCTAAATTTAATGATGTACTCCTCGAGGTATTAATTAAATTACACCGTTATCTTGAGCAATTTGAAGACCAATTCAGTTTGTGGTAACACGAGGCGAGTGCTCTGAATAAGATTAATTAGAGATGACAAAAGATGGGGAAAAAAAGGCTCTGCAGAGAGGAAACCTGCGTCTGAGAGGAACAGAACCGATCTGCTGTAATCTGATAGATTGTGTTAGCGGTGAATGATACTTTTTTAATGAAATTATTGTGTTTCTACCCAAAATCTCTGAAACACTGAAGGAAAAATCTTCCTGCTTGGAAATTATTCATCCTTTTTTCTGGAGCAGCCTCGCCTCGGTCTGATTCTCCTCCCTCTCTGTTTCACAGATGGATGCTCCGGCGACCGCAGTGCCATCGGCGACTCACTCGTCTCCCCCCACCCTCTAAGTCCCTCCTCTCCGAGCGGCATCCGTCCACACGTGCACACTCACAAGTTGTTATCGGCCATCCTCACCCATCGTCCAGTCCACCAGCACCACAAATCGCCTTTGATGACTGATGAGAATGGGAGACAACAGCGTGTTCTGTATCATAGCAGAGCGGTCACGACTCTATTTTATACTGAATGGATGTTTGGGCCAGCTTGAACTGGAGACACTAAAAACCTGCTGATTCTCTTCGTTTAAAGCCTCTCAGCCCACACTGCCCCTTAGATTTAATCCATCCCCCTTTGCACTTTTAAAAGGAATCTTTGTGAAAATGAACGAAGACGTTTTCTCCGATAGAGTCAGAAATGTCGCCGTGCAGGGACCAAACTCTCCAACCTCACGTCTTCTGATGAAAGGAAATTCTAATCAAGCCTGAGTTTAGTGGATGCAAAGTGATCGAAGGACGTCTTTTATTCAGACGCTGTAGAAATGGCTCTCGATTTTTAAATTCTTTCTCCTTTGTTCAGAAAAATTTTCTATCAAATCAGTGAACTGGACACAACCTTCACCAACGACTAACCGCATGTGGGTGCAGCGTGCGTCTTCCTGCTGCTTCCATTTCCTTTTTAGGTGCAACCAGAAATTTCACCATTAACATTCTAATCACTGGAAATTTCTGCAACGCCGTGCGTGAAGCACTACAAGCTGCTGCTGATTGGGAACATTCCCAGGCTCTGAAATGTCCGGGATGGGAAAGTGGAAACTCCTGGAAAAGGGATTTTTGACTTCATCTCTAATAAACACCACGAGCTTCTGGGTTAGATTTAACTCACCAGTAAACGGCATGAAGTACACTTAATCACACAAGAATCAACAATTAGTAGAAAACTGATTAATTAATCCCCAGTTTGTACTTAGTTAATTCTCAGTAACATTTAATTAATGGCCGGTTAGAAGTGAGCGAGGAACAAATCAGACACTAATTTCTAATAAACATTAATAAATGTTCAATAGCGAAGATTATTTGAAACATTGCTTAATGCAGCTAACCACTACCAGATAAAAAACACCATTAGCTAATGTTCATTAGCATATTTAGCCTTTCTCGTAAAAAAAAGAAGAATTAATTATCTATTTTCAAAATGAAATAAGTTGTTAACTAACCAGTGGATAATAACATACTAATTATGAGCTAATTAATAAAATCCGACCTAATCATTCGCTAATGACTCGTTAGCAATAAGTCGCAGTTATTTTCTTGTTTTGAACTTAACATAAATGATTAATTACCCACGGTGTTATCAGGAGTTTACACCAGGTGACTGATTAATCACCATTAATCATTAGATAAGAAACAAAAGCTGATCAGAAATTAGTTATTAAGCTAAAAGCAATAAGCAACTAGCTATTTTTTCTGTTCTAGCTCAAGCTCTTATCAACGGATTTACCAAATAATAATTTATTACAAACATTTAATCAGGGTTTTATTTACTTAGTAATTTATCACTATTTAATAAAGAGCTATTTAACTAAATCTGATACCAAAATATATCACCAACTCTTTTAGAGCCTGAAATATTAATAAGAACATATTTTTTAAACTTTACCATTTATTTTGAATATAACAACTATACAATCATCTGTTTTTATTATGCAGTTATATAACAAACTGTAATAAATAAAGAAAATTGGCCCTTGCAACGTGTCAATCCTCCACAAGGGGGCAGTAGACGAACAGGTCTGGATAAGAAGGTCTGGTGAATGTACTAATCCTGATGCACCAACTGGAGGCTTTAAGGCCTGGAGTGATTTCAGATACTTAAATAAATAAGGTTAAGAATTAATCATTGGGTCATGATTAATTAGTGCTTTTCAGATCGACCATAATTAATCAGATAAATGACTAATAATTAATATTTAAGTGATATCTGACACATTTTAAGCTCTCTGATTGGTTCCTCTCTAATGACAGACTGGCCAATGATTAATCTTTACAAATGTGATCAGGAATTAATCAATAACTGATCATTTGTTCCTGTGTTAACCTTTAAAGTGTTTCTTTAGCATCAAAGTTTCTTCATGACTTTTCAGCAGTTTTTATTCCAGCCTAGATTATTTAGCGAGCCTCGTTTGCGTGGTCCAACTGGTCTAGTTTACTGTAAAGGGGAAAACCAGGAATTACAAGAATAAATAATCTAGTTTTAAAAGACAAAAACGCGCCACTTTCTTTTAAATAAAAACAGGATTTCAACTAAAGATGGGTCCCGAATTTATAGTTGCCAAAAACTAAAAGCACTTAAAAAATGTCCTTCTGTAAAAGAGGATGTGAAAATCAGTATTACTGCTTAGAAGGATGCGTACTGACTACTGGAGTCGTTCACCAAACATAAATAAGACATAAGAGACGTGCTTTTTTAGTCTGTAATGCCACAATCTGAGGCCAGTGTGTCTAAAGAGCTCAGCTGAGATTATTTAGTGTTGACCCAGAATAAGCTGTCAGTAACTTTATATGCTGGTCGTTTGTCCAACTTTAAGCACCTCGCAGCTCCTGCCGGCAGAAAGGAGCAGATGCTGTGAAATGTGGTCAGCTGCAGCTTGGTTTCATTCTCAGAGCTTGAATGTTATAATCTGGCACTATAACAATAGTTTGCACTAACAAAAAACAAGAAGAAACTTGATTCCAGAGCTTTCTCAGAGCAACAGCAACATCAGAGAGGATAATTTACCTGCACCTGATTGGTTCACCCAGCTGAGCACAGCAGCTAGTCTCAAGTTTGGCTTTTCCTGAATAGAAAATAGGAAGTGTGGTACTTTTGCACCTTTTTTTTTTTTTTTTTTTTACAAGCATTACAGCAAAATCAAACCCAAAACATTTAATTATGAGCATTACTACTTTCTGCCTAGTTGGTCATGATTAATTACCGTTTGTGACGCAGCTAAAAACAACACATTTTCTGGGTTTGGTCGACTGCAGACGATATTTTATGTTCATGGAAACGTCCTCGTCCACATCGTTTTGTGCTTTCAGAAAAACTCGCCAAAAGCATAGATGGGAGGTTGTGAAAGGTTCTGGGTTTGCGTGAACAAGGCCTTGTAGTTGTTCTCGCTAGGAAAACAAAAAGGGTGCTAACATTCTTCTGCTTCGCTCAAAGCTGAATATTTAGTTTGTGCCTAAAAGATCCAGCCAGCGTGATGTGATGCACAAACGGAGAAAATGTTTTGACACGGCCGCGGCGTTTTGGGAAAATCTTTTTACTTTAATGCCAAAAAGTAACTGCTAACTAGCTTAGCTTAGCTTAGCTTGGCATGCTGGACACCGCTAACCGAAAGCCCCCCTTAATTATTTCCGTTTATTTTTTTATGTGACAGGCAAAAGAGAGACGTCTGCCTTTCTCTTTCTTTGATAAAGTTTTGTTTTCAGCAGCTTTGGTGGCTCTTACTCGACCTTACGTGAACTTTCCTTCATCTGTTTAGGGGGTCTTGTTAGCTAAACTGTTGTTATGCCTGTTGTTTTCTCCTGTTTGACACTTTTACACCACAACACACCAACTTCTGACTCGTTTTAAACCATCGCTGTTGTAAAAAGTGGTTAGAGCTTGAAGGACAACCGAGTTCATTTCTGTGAAAGCGCCTAAAACTTGTGACAAATCTCCAGCACCCCCCTTTTTGACGATGAACTGCAGGCCTGGATTATGCAATGACAACTAACTCCATGCTGATTAAAACAAATAAAAAAGCGGTCCATAGAATTATGATTAATAACATCACAACTTTCGAAAACAACAGGGACGCTGCCTTAACTCTTGCTTGTATAATCTCCGCAGTTAAGACAATGACGCTCTCTGTAACAACGTCTCTCCCTTCTTTGTATAAAATGAAATATACCAGAAACAACTTTGTTATCTTGCTAGTGTCAATGTATAGATGATCAGCTTTTTCTGTAGCTCGTATGAAATGTCACATTTTTACACAAAAAAAAAAGGAAAATCCTCCCAACTTCCCTGTTCCTAAACATCTGATCGGTTTTAGCTCATGGTGGACTGTCGGTGTCTTTGTGTACATTTTATAGTATTATTTATTGTCAACAACTTGCAAATAATAGGAACAGTGAAGATGGGCGATGTAAATGCTTTGTGAACAGTGAAATGCTTTTTTAAAATATTGAAATGGAGAAAAACTGGAGTTTTTTATTTTACCTTTTTTTTCTGACGTTGTACAATATACATAACGTGTGGCCAAAATTGCTTTTAAAATGAATCCATTTTGTGTTGTAACAGTTATTGTTTTATTCAGTAAAATGCTCATGAAGACATAAATATGAGGTGTGCACGCACACACACACACACACACACACACACACACACACACACACACACACAAATCTGTTTCAGACATTACTGTGTAAATGTGCAAAAAACAAAATGCTAGCTTTTTGTGAGCGACATTTTGTTCTAATTTCTGCACTTTTTGAATGAAAATTTAATTTCAGAGCAAAATACGTAAATAAATGTAACCAGTGTTGTTTAACAAAACCCTTAAACTGGAAAAAGTTTTCATTTTGTTCAGTTTTTGTAATTAAATCACTTTTTATTCAAAAAGCAACATAGAGAGATGAAAGTGTTTAATGACCTTCCTACTTGGAAATTTCAGATTAAATCCGGAATGAAAAAATATCTAAAACACACTGATAAAAAAACAAAATGATGCTTTAAAACAATTTTAAACAAGCTAAAGTTTTAAACCCCATTTAATAATGTTGAATGATTCATAGCTAACTGGGTTTCATTTAAATATTTGCAACCAATAAGTAGGAATAGTTTTAAAAAAATGCACAAATAATTTATTTTGTTATTATGAATGATAATGATTCATGTTTAGCTAGAAATCAGTAATATAATTATTTTTGTTTAAAGAAACTAATGCTGTCAGAAATGCTGTTTTTAGGTTGATAATAATAATTATAACAATTTTCAACATTAAAGAAAAAAATTTATTCTGAAAATAATTGTAAAAAAAACTTAGTTTTTTCCAGGTTTTTCCCCTGGTCACTTCTGCCATCTAGTGGTGGAAAAGCGGTACTACCTCACCAGGTTTTTTATATCAGGGACAGACAAAAAAACAGCAAAAATAAAAATAAACCAGAACAAACTGGACTTTATTTTTTTTTATTATATTTTGGTAAGTAAGTACATGCTATTTCCACCAATCTGGAGAAAACAGCAAAAATGGGTCAAACATGTCTCAAGTAAACATTTAATTAAGACCAATAAACCCATGACCAGAGTCACTCAAAGAGCAAGTCACTCTAAATCAACATTTTTTTTTGCTGATAAGCTATATAAATGAGTGTCTGATCGTGCTGCAGACACGTGTAGTCAATAATTCGGCACTTTAGTGCATCTTAGTTAAAATTTAAATATTCTGCCTAAAACTGTCAGTGCTGCACCGTCATCAGGTAAACACTCAGCACTGCATTTGAATTTAAATCTGCCGTCACTATTGGCTAAGAGGTACACTATGATGTTAGATGGTACATTATGATGTCACAATGTCGTGAGTGTGTATATTTGTTGGCGGCTCCACCCTCTCGGTCTGCTAGGCAACAGCATTTGTTGCATTTTTCAAACAGGAAGTGGGAGTTGAGTAAGAATCTGGTAGGGGTGACTTGCAAGTCACCTCTTACAAGAAGCGTACTTCACTCCCACTTCATGTTTGAAAAATGCAACAAATGCTGTTGCCTAGCAGACCGAGAGGGTGGAGCCACTAACAAATACACACACACTCATGACATTGTGACATCATAATGTACCAGTTTACATCATAGCATACCTCTTAGCCAATAGCGGTGGCAGATTTAAATTCAAATGCAGTCAAGAGTTTTTACCTGACAACGGCACAACACTGCCAGTTTCAGGCAGAAATTTTAAATTTTAACTAAAATGCACTTAAGTGCTAAACTATTGACTACACGTGTCTGCAGCACGATTAGACATGCATTTATATAGTTTATCAGAAAAAAATAGTTGATTTGGGGGTGACTTGCTCTTTAAAATGTTTTTGTGAAAACAGCACGAATTAAAAATCTTTTAATAAAAACAAACATGTTTTTTGATAGATTTTTGTTACGATTTTTTGTTTTTGGAATAATATTTTGTAGAAACAAATGGTTTGAATGGTTTTTTAAAGTCGTGTATATTTTTGAGTCGTTTCTTGTTTAGTATTAGTACTTAGTATTAGAACATTTTGAAAAAATATGCTTGATACACAAAAAAGTTAAACATTTAACACATTTTTAAGTAAAAACTCCTAAAGTCAGGCGCTTGATATGGAGGACTCTTGCTGCCAAAATAGATGTTAGCTAAATAAATAAACGAGGAAACAAAATACATATGGAAATAAAAAAATGAATGTGGGAATAAATAATTACAAAATATCTTTGTTTCATTTCCAAATATTTTTATTTTCTAATAACCTATTCTTCCTCATTTATTTGTTTATTTTGGCAGGAAGAGGGCTCCGTTGCGCTCCAAGTTCCAGAACTGCTGGTTGAACTCATCGACATATATACTGGTAATGGTAATGGTAATGAGGTAATGGTTGAACTACATTATCTCTGCTCAGAATCCCAGGATTTACCGGCGGACGAGCCAGGGGCATTCTGGGTAATTGAATCATTTAGCGCTGATGGCCGGCGTCTTTTGGAATTCTAGGGTGACAAAGGAAGGTCCCGCCTTTCTCGCCTCTGATTGGCTATTTCATTTAAGCAGCAAACCGTCTTCCCTTGCTAAGTTAGTGCAGACCATCGTGCAGACTGTCCTCTTGCCGCCAACAGAACAGCTGTTTTGGGGATTTTTTTTTTTTTAGAAAATAAGAACTTAGCGCCATTCTGTCCTGTTTTGCAAAAGTTATTTTTGTTTCATTGATTAAAAACTGAAAAACGTAAGAAGTGAACTTATAAATCTTGTTGCATTTATCACACTGTGGGACTTTATGTCTATGGCTCTAAAGCAGTGAGGTTATCTTATTACAGCAGAGGATAAACGTGTGTGCCTTACCTTACCTGGGTATGAAATATAATAAAACTGCCCTATTTTACCCAGCTGTGTGCAGCAGGTCTGTTTCTCTTCTAGAATAATGAAAACTGCTGAAAAATAGGTCTAAGTCATAATCAGCTTTGAATTAATTTCAATTAAAAATACGGATTTAAACACATGAAAGATGTGTCCTCACTTTCATCCTGCTTGCTTAACAGCCTCAGCCTATGAAAGTATTTCCAAATTGTTATCAAGAGACATGATCATGAAAATACACCACACCGATTACATCACAGACTTTATTGAACAAGTACAGAGCACCTGTGTGTGTGTGTGTGTGTGTGTGTGTGTGTGTGTGTGTGTGTGTGTGTGTGTGTGTGCGCGTGAAAAAGTATATTGAACTGGCAGCTATGTCATCAGCAAACAACAGATTAGATGAACATTTGAGGGCTTGCCTATTATTTTGAACGTGGCTTTTGAAAAGCTAATGTTAGCTTAGCACAAAGACATATTACCTCAGCTCAGATATCCACATCAGTTGCTTTGCTTTCAGGCAAGCGAAGGCCGCTGTTGTCTGCCGCCCCCGCGAATTTTCAGCCAATCGTAGTAGAGCCCATCTAGCCAATCAGAGGCGAGAAAGGCGGGACCTTCCTTGGTCACCCTAGAATTCCAAAAGACGCGTCCGGGGGGAGGAGAGACTTCAGCCTCCGTGTGCGCGCGCGCGTGTGCGGATGTGAAGCAGGACTTTTCCTCCGATAGTGAAGACTTTCTACATCCCTAAACAAGCAGAGGAGGAGGAATGCGCGCAGGAACTCGGGAGGAAGCCGTTTTTCTGGTGGAAAACTCCGCGCGGGAGAGCGTGTGACTCGTGACAGCGACGGCAAACTCTAACGGACTTCGCACACCGTGAATGTGGCTGAAGCGGGCGGAACTTTCTGTGGAACGGAGGCTTTTCAAACGGTCGAAACCCGGTGGGACGAGAAGGGGAGGAGAGGGGGGCTCCGAAAACGCCCTGCCGCCTGTTGCTGCTCCGGCTTCAAACTTTTATCGGCCGAGTTGGGGGGAAAAATGCATCTTTCCCCTAACGGGAGGCGAAAATCCAGCAGCGGTGTCGTCTGTGACCAGGAACTAGACCGCTAGCCTGGTGGCTAGTTTTTGGGAGTCGCTTTTTTTCTTTTAAGTTGTTTGGAACATTTTCCCCTCATCGTGTTTTACTTTTCCTGTTTTTGGAGGCGGTTCGGGTGGGCTGGGAGCCCAGGGCTGCTCCGCCAGGCCTCCGGCCGTTAGCCAGGAACAAAGGGGGCTCCATGTAAACTCCAAACTGTTGGGAAAACACCCAGAAGACTTTAATTTAACCAAATCTAAGAGAAACACGTGTCAGCCATGTCTGTGGGAGCCGAGAGGAGGATGGAAGCCCGGCTGAAGAAGCTGGAGGACATGATCAGAGATCCCAGATCTGCCATAAACCTGGAGAGTTTGCTGGTAAGTTGCACCTCTTGCATTATTGATTATGATGTTGCCGGCCGGCCATCACCTGAAACGTTGGTTACGTATGCACACCTGAAGCCACACTCCTGTTTTGTGATGTTGCTCCTAAAGGCAGGAGAAGGTGGAGGTGCTCCACACGGGCCTGATTAACAGTTCAGACGGAGTGCAGACGGGACAGTTTGGGTCTCTTTGAAGCTTGTCTACAGATTAGGATTAACCAGAACTCTTGGAGTGCTCATTGGGACTAATATTTCCGGCCCAAACTCCTGCCTAGACCCCAATTAGGAGGCTGGTAATTAGGGTGAAATCCACCAGCTGCTGCGCTATTTACAACGGTGCTCTGGTGGTCTGCACTCTAAAATCTGCAGACTTCAGATTGATCAGCTACTTTTACTAATTATTTCCTACACTAATGCACATAATATAAAATTTGTTTTAAGGAGATTTTTGCATAGAAACGTATGTTATCTACATTTATTCCGTTCCTATTTAGGATAGATTTGGTATTTTCGTGGGAAATGTGTAATCCAAACTTGATAAAATTAGAATAACTCTACGGTTTGGTTTAAATTTAAGTATGATCACCCCTAAAACTTAACCTTAAGGGCCAGAGATGCTCCCAGGGTTTGTCAGGAATTTGAACTGGCCTGATCTGTATTCCTTTTTGTCCCACAATGCATCACTGCCCAGTTATAAAAATAAGGCCCAACAGGTTTTGCAGCTTGAACTCGCCACCGCTGAGTGCTGAAGTATCAACACCATCCTCTGTGTGGACGTTCTTACTTAAAGAATCACCATTTTCAAGTTGATCCGAAAAAGAGAAATTGTGTCCTGGCAATCGTAGTTTTGGGATCAATGTCAGAGTCGTATAGAATCAAAATTGGCCCGGAAAACCAGAATCAGTGCATCTTTAGTTTGGAGCTTCGAGGTGGGGTAGGAGGTGTTTTTATGGCGATTTTTTTTTTATTTTTTTTGCCATATTGCTTGAAATGCTCCTCACACACTAAATTAGATGTTTTGTCAAGAAAAAGAATCATTTTAATCACCTCTGAAACACACAACCCTGGAAAAGCTTCATCTAATCATTGTGCTTGTCCCATTCTTAATGATTGGATCCTGATCTGTCTTCTGACTGCCCCTCTCTGTCTGCAAATACCCTCTATAGAGCTCCGGGAGGTGACGTCACTTCTCCCGGCATGCAACAGTTAAAATCGAAACAGCGCCATATTGGCAGGCACAAGCCCGCAGCTGGACTATTTGTTATTGTCAGAAAACTCAATCAAACGGGAAATATGGTAGATTCCTGTCGTGCCCCAGGATGCCAGAACAGATGGAATAAGGAATGAGCCATCTACAGGATTCCCCAAGATCCGGAGCGCCGCAAACGTTGGATCATTGTAATAAAACGCGCTAGTGACCGGGCTAAAATGAAACTGTGGGATCCCGAGACTAAAGGTTTTCGCTTATGCAGCGACCACTTCATATCAGGTACTTAAACAACGTTTCCTCAACCGTGTTTGGTATTTCGTTTAAATGCTTTTATTACGATTCTTAGTGGGCTTCCTGAACTTATTTTGGCATGGCTTTTTCTGTCTTATTACTCATAGCAACAAGTAAACATCACGTAAAACGTTGCCTCGTGAGTTCTGCGTGCTGCCGTTTACGTGTTTTATGATCACAGCGATTAACCGGCTAAGCTGTATTTAATTTTAAGCAATGGTTGATCAATTGTCAGATCACACATAAAAAGCACTTTGGATTGCTATTATCTGTCTCACCGAGACAGATCTCAGACAGATCCTGAGACGCTCCTGCCTGACATATTTATTTTATTCACGGAAAAAAATCAAACAAGTGATTTCTCTTGGCGTTCAGTTTATACATTCAAACAGCACAGCATCTATTTAAACTACTTACATGTAAGTCTGTTATTTGTCCATCCATTTTCATCCGCTTATCCGGAGTCGGGTTACGGGGGTAGTAGCTTCGAGAGGCCCAGACTTCCCTCTCCCCAGCCACTTGGGCCAGCTCCTCCGGGGAAATCCCAAGGGGTTCCCCGGCCAGGTCCGGTAAGAAGTCTGCTCTGACAGCTGCTGGCGTTTTCAAAAAGTATCCCAGGGGCACGGTAAGGGTCGGAGATGTTTAGTCTATTTAATTTCTGACTATATAAAATGATTTCTTCGGTTTTAAAGTGTGAAGTAAACTCTGACGGAGTAAAATCAAAGCCGATCCCATTCATGTTCATGTTTACGATCCGTGTTTACCTTTTTTTCCTGCCAATATGGCGTCTACTAACTGAGAGTCATGTGGGGTCCGGAGCTCTATAAGCATAAATCAGCAGCTGAACAGGAAGTGAAGCCAGAGCTAAGCTAGCTATGTTAGCTAGCATATTAAGTTGTTATACGTTTACGTAGCAGAGAAGGTTTCCCGTGTAACAAGCCAAGACCTCACCTGCTGCATCTCCAGTCTTGGTCCCAGTGGCTCCTGTCTCCTGAACTGTCAGTGAGGACAGAGACTGGCGAACAACTGACCAGCACCAACAGGACTGTTGTGTAGTCGTGTTATGTTAGAAATGATAAGAGATGGAAATTGTGGCATCTCCATGCCGTGTTTTTGTACTGCTCAGCAACTGAACCAGGTTCATTCACTGCGCTGATTGAAATCACCTGGTTTAGTTGCTGAGCTGAAGAAAAAATATGTCATGGAGATGACTTGTTGATGTCACAATTCCCCATCGCTAGAAATTATAGCAGAAAACGTGCCAGCAATGTGTCAAAAAGTAGGATAATGTTTTTATTGTTGTTTGACTGTTTCTGGGGGCGTGGCTTATGGGCGGAGCCTGAATAAGGGGGGTTAAGCCTTAGATTAGGGTGCCTAAGTCACACCCATCTACCTCTGGACCATGGGTCCCCTGCTCCCAAAAGAAATGAACGAGTCTGTGAGCCAGTAAGTTTTCTGATTCTGTTTGATATGTGCCATGGATTTAATTTATGATGTCCGTGAATTTTAAAGGCACAGTTTGATGCCAACAAAGCCCTTTATGCATTCCAAGGCGCTGGTGCCGCGAGGTCACACATTGACGGTAGAATTACACCACGTGTGATTTGGGAAGTGCACACGATAACAACCAAGAAGAAAACGGAGGCAGCTTCAATAGTAGGCTCGTGCTCACTCCTTAACAAAAATAACAGCTGAGATAGTCCCTTGTGTGTGTGTGTGTGTGTGTGTTTGGCCCGGAGGACAGAGGACAGGAGAACACGCAGCTAATTAAATAATGTGGTTCTGTACCTTTCTCCTCAGCACAGCCGACAAAGGTTTATGATGGGTCAGTCCTCCTGCATGCTCAGATCATTCCCTTCCCTTGCTTGAAAAATTGTTCCAAAATGAAAGTTGAACTCACATCTTTTTTATCTGTGAATGCAATGCCGTTCGGCGAGTCTCAAATAACAATTTGGGCATCTTACTGTAAAAAAATATACCATTAATGTAAAAAAGAAACTCTAAATCAACAATGTTCACACCCAGAATCGAACCCAGGTCTTCTGCATGAGAGTCAGACATCTTACTAGGTGAGCTAAAGCGCCAGTGACATTCACTGTATCTGTAACATTTATATCCTTGATGACAGCTGAAACAACGTTCAGAGAACAGTTCGGAGTGAAAATGGCTATTTTGTTGCTAATTAGCAGGAAATATCTAGAAGAAAGTTCTACAGAAAGTAGTTAAGGGTCCTCAGAAATGTAGCTAGCTTTGTCACTAGGCGTTAGGAACAGCGACAAAGTGGCACTGCCTCTCTCTCTGCTGCTAAAGCTACTGATAGCAAATGCTACGGGCGATGCCTGAGCGTGAACGCGCATGAAGCAGCCTGCTCGACCCGAGCATCTCTCTTTTTCTGTGATTTTACAGAAAAACAGGCAATCACAGTAAAAATGCCAGGGCTCATTCTACAGGACCAGGGCATTGCAGGAGAATGTATGAAGAAGACATTTATTATTTCTATACATGTTTTGGCTGTCAAACTTCCATAATCTCCCTTTAAGATAAAAAAAAAGTATTTATTTGAGCAAACAGATGAAAAATTCCCATAGAAGTGTCCTCTTGGATGTTCTTCCTTCCTCCGTGTTTGAGGATTTAAGTGAAGGTTTGTTGGCAAACGATTGATATTTCCTAATGAGACATGAAGCTGTGTTTGAAGAAGAGCAGCAGAAATACCTGCTGAGTTTCGGGTTTAACTGCAGTGGAAAAATCCTTTCCGTGACACGTGTGTATCATAACTTTGGGCTCTAACAGGAAAAGATCATCTCCTCACTCCGAAGATTCCAAACTTTCCAAAACACATCCTTGTGTTTGTCGGTTTGGGACTTCTTATCCACAGGATTCAACATTTTCAGAGCTGGACGCATCGGGCTTGATGTTGTGTGTCACGTCTCCGTGGAAACGAGATGTTTTCAAACCTCTGAGCTGCTGCCTCCTTTAGCAGCGATCGAGCCTCTTTTTAAGACTTTCTCTGCTTGGATTTAATAACGGATTAGCACTTATTCCAAATTTCATTTATTCACTTTAAATTACGTAGTAGACAAGTTAATAAGTGACATTGTTGTGCAGATTGTAAAATTTAATCCGCTTACTTTGCTGGACAACCTCTTCTTGGTCTGGATTAAGAGCCCATCCTTTTATTCCGTTTCACCAGGCCCCATCCTGCTCAGGATTCCCACCCCGACTCCTGGTTGTCCCTTAAAACATGAAGCTTGAGCCCCGCTGGTGTTTACTTCCTGGACACAAGCTCTGACCAGAGAGGTGCTGAGTGTTTGAGACAAAAGCTGAGTGGGAAGCTTGCGTAGGAGAGAACAGGCTGCAGCTTTCCATTTTTAGCTGCTGCCGCTGGGATCAAGAAGTTTAGCTGTCAGGGTGAGATCCAAACACTGAAAGCCCAGTCATTGCCCTTTTTTGCAGGTTGAATGAAAACACACATACCAGAAGTGCCTTGATAATTG